AGGTATGTGGAGATCATTTACAAATAAATCACGAAAAAAATATTTATAGTAATACTTTTTATCTGTCTTTATTTTATATAAATGGAATTCATACTAAGCAGTCGCATATATATATAAATCCTATAAAATAAATTAATATTGAAAATCATCGCAAGAGCTTAAAGAACACTGAGAAAAGTTTTGAGTTCTATTATTATCACTATAAAAAAATTAAATTCACATTTTTTTCGCTAGCTTCTGTATTTTTTAAATTTGTTGTATGTTCAGTAATTCAGTAATTAAGAACATATCCCAAAAATATTTTTTCAGTAAAAAATGGATTGAAGATAGAAAATGCCCAAATTTTGGTTCTGTTCAAGTTTTGTTTTAAACTTTCTAGCTTCCATAGCTTCACAATTCATAAAAATAATTTTACCTTAATTACCTTATTTAACTTATCTTAATCTTTTATTAGAATTTATGTAGATGTGGTTATTAATCACATGTGCGGAAACCATGGCCATGCCACTGGAACTGGAGGAGGTACAGCAGTACCAGAAGAGCGCCAATATCCAGAAGGTACAATATTATTAGACAAATCGATAAATTTGTTAATAAAAAATCACGCTTCTTCCAATATCTGATTTTATTTAAATCTTTTATCTAGTGCCTTATGGTCCAGGAGATTTCCACCCACCATGTACAATTACTGATTATACAAACGCACAAGAGGTTAGAAACTGCGAATTAGTAGGTTTGCATGATTTGGATCAATCCAAGGATTGGACAAGGAAGAAGATTATAGATTTTCTCAACAAATTGGTTGATTTAGGCGTGGCTGGATTCCGGTAAAATTGATAAATGACAATTGATAAATTGATAAATGACAATTACAAATACCATTATAAGACTTATGAAAAAATTATAGGGTTGACGCTGCTAAACATATGTGGCCTTCAGATTTGGCTTTTATATATAATGCTGTAAAAAATCTGAATACTGCTCATAGATTCAACGATGGGGCAAGACCTTTCATTTATCAAGAAGTTATTGATTTAGGTATGAAAATCCTCTGCACATTTTTTCTGCTAAAAGCTTAAAACAAATATAATATTCCTAATCAAAACTTGATCAACGCAATGCCTAACTCATATCTTTTAAATGGTATTTAATGTTAGTTTTCATATGGTAAAGTACCAAAATATTCAGACCATTATCTATAAATTGCCAATTCTAGGAATTTCTAACAGTCATTAATCAATAAATAGGTGGTGAAGCAGTATCCAAAAACGAATACACAAACATAGGACGAGTAACTGAATTCAAATTCAGTGCTGAAATTGGAAGAGCCTTCCGGGGTCACAATGCCTTGAAATGGCTGGTCAACTGGGGTCCTGCATGGGGTATGCTGTCAGATGATAAGGCGCTTGTATTTGTTGACAATCACGATAACCAGGTTAATTTTATATATGAACCAGTATCATATCTATCGCCAATAGCTAGTTGGTTGCTTGCGTAATTGCATTCACAAATGACGAATTGGTTATTCATAATTAATAAAATTCATGAAGCAATTTCATTATATCTATCCCAAATGTGTATTACAAGTATTTCTGTTTTTCAGCGAGGCCATGGAAGTGGTGGTTCAGAAATATTAACTCATAAGCAGCCTAAACAATATAAAATGGCAATTGCCTTTACTTTGGCTCATCCATATGGTCTACCTAGACTGATGTCAAGCTTTGGTTTTAGCAATAGTGACCAAGGTCCTCCACAAGATCAATCTGGAAATATCGTGTCACCGCAGTTTGATGCAAATGCAAGTATTATGATAAAACGACCAATAATATTATTAATCTGCAAAATAAAAAATATATCCTGCATTGCAGCTTGATCTAGTATGTTATTCACATATAGTACATAATTTGCTGACCAACTTTTGAACGAACTCCAATAGTTAAAAAATCTTAGACATAACGATTCAGAACCTAGTAATATATTTATTAGCTTTTGAAGAACTAATAAACTAAATTAAAATAAACGTAATTTAAATATTTTGTCAATTTTCTCTCAAATCGAAATTTGAAGGCATTTGACATAATATTGCTTCTTTATTCTACTATATCACGAGTAAAAATTAATTTTCAAATTATAATATTATAATATTTTTAGACTGGTGCCTGTACCAACGGATGGATATGTGAGCATAGATGGAGACAAATTTACTCAATGGTGGCTTTTAGAAATGTGGTCCAAAATAATAAAATTCAATATTGGTGGGATAATGGTTCAAACCAGATTGCATTTACACGCGGTTGTGCTGGTCTAGTAGTTTTCAATAATGAAAATCAACAGAATTTGCAACAAACACTTCAGGTAATTTTTACTCAAATATACATATTTGACAGAAACTGTTGTTATATTTTGCTATTCTTAATTAAATTTAAATTTGTACTATTTTTTTTATTTTTCCAATGGGAATATCGGCGGAATTTCCTATTAATTGTTAAATATATCTTGTATATGAACAAATGGACTATTTTTCATTATGAGTGACATAAATAATTTAAAAATATTTTAAATATTGGTAATTTATCCTAACAGTATATATATATATATATTGTAGTTTTAAAAGTCTTAACTGCGTTTTCCAATTTTTAACCAAAGATAACATTGCAGATATATTTAACAATTAATAGGAAAATCCCCCAATGTTCCCATTAAAATATTTTTTCAAAATAATTAGTACAAATTTAAATTTAAACAAACATTTTTTTCAAACATCAATCGTGTTCGATAACCAGAACATTACTTCTAAAGACTTTGCAAAATAATTGTTGACGAGTAAATAAAAGATAACACGTTTTAATTGTGGAAAATATTGAAAAAAGTGGTAGATAGAGAAAATATTTTTTATACTATTATTTGCATTTAATTGTTGTATTGGTTTATTAAATAATTAATTGATAATAATTCTAGACTTGTTTGCCTGCCGGAAGATATTGCGATGTAATATCTGGAAAAGCGGAAAATGGCAGGTGTTCTGGTAAAACTGTAGAAGTATCACCTGATGGAAAAGCTTATGTCGAGATTTTACATTCGGAAGACGATGGGGTTCTAGCTATACATATAGGAAAACAGGTAAATTTCAATTTCAGATATTTTATTTTTTTAGCGCGAATATAGTAATTCAAAACAACTTATCTTTTTAATCAAAGAGCAGATATGATAAAATAATCATAATTAATTATAATCATAATAATTAGATACTTCTAACATTATTGACTTAATCTACTCGTTAGTAAAATTTTAAGTAGACGATAAACGTACGGTTATTGGATATTGAAATTAAATTTTGATTTTGTTTTTTTTTTGTAATTTTTAATGCTCTTAGTAGACGCAATTATTTAATAATCACTAATCTTTGTTAATTATTTAGCAACGTTATATTTAATAGTACAAGTCATATAACCACACAGATGAATGATTTCTTAATACCTTCGTAATTTCTTAAAAAACCTATATGTTCTAAATGAAGATTGTTTCTATATAAAATGATTCATAAAAACTTTCTGGTATAACAAATTAAATATTAATTTAGTACGATACTTTGCATAAATTTAAGCAAACAAATGTATAATATACGCTTATATATAACAAAAATAATATACTATATTTTATATTAATTATTACTAAATTATAATTAACAATACTTAACTAATTCTAAATATTGCAATATTTCAGTCTCTTCTCAGCCTAAAGTCCAAAATGTAGTCGAGTTTGAAAAAGAGGACTTAATCAATAAAAATGATTTGATGATTTTGATGAAAAGTCAAGTCAATGACATTGGTTATCATGTGGTTAGTAATATTGTATGGTTGTGGTCAATAAAGAATATTTTTCTCATTAGATTTTTAATACGTGGTATATTTCATTTGACTTATTCACGATTTGCGCAAACGGAATGTATGCAATCTTTACTATCTTCATTTAAACTCGACTTCAATTAAAAACAGTAATCTTAGTTATGGATATACATCATGTAGTTCATAAGTTATCATATAAGTAATAGCAGTTCATTCAAAATTGTAGAATCTGCAAGAATTCTAGCTCCAACAATAGTAACTAATAAAACTTGAATTAAAAATAAAAGTTAAAAATCTCGTAGTCAAATCTCTGGAGCAAGATATCTACTATAAATGCTTCATCTAATGAATGAAATAATACATATTTCATATTAAATTTGGGTAGGGGAGACTTGGTATAGTTGTGCCAGGGTATTAACAGTCACCATAAGAGCTAAAATACTGATTTTGACATAGGGTCCAAAGAGAGATAGATGAAGTATGTTTGTTCGAGCAAGTTTCCATTATTGCATTGAGTCAGCGCTCTAAATTAACAAGATCTATAGACTAGATTTTTTTTAAAGGGCCAAAAAAGTTTTTGTTGAATAATAATTTAATAATTCTTGTATAGGGATAAATCACTTGTTTGTTATTTTTCTGTAAATTAAACATCAGTAGATAATTACCAGCAATTTAGCATAGTTATAACGATGATTTGTTTCTAAAAAGGTTTTAAAAGGTACGTTGTGCTTTTCGAATGAAGATTAAACAGATAAGGAAAAATCTAACCTAATTAATTGTAAGACAAGATATGAAAAACAAAGGGAAAGCAAAATTCAATACAAGAAAAAAAATGACTGCTCAAAGAAAAGTGGCACAACCGTATCCAGTCTTACCCCAGTCATGAAGTACAATACATTTTGGCAAAAAATGACTAAACTTATACAACTAAAATTGTTGCAATTTAAGCTATAATACTGTAATCATTAAAAATATTTTTTTGAAAAATGTATAAATTTTTTTTACAAAATATGATAAGTCAACAAATTAAAAAAATAGTCTTAAAATTGCTTAAAAATATAGTTATTTCTTATCACAGATAAAACTAGATAGGTGGGTAGTAGTTAAATATATATATATATATATATATATATATATATATATATATATATATTATCATGATATAGGATTAGGAATTAGTTTCCAAGGGATGAAAGTTACATTAGGATGATTTGCTAGCCAAATTCTCGTGCATTTACTTCCGCAAAACATTGCACTACATAATAAGTATGAATCGCCGAATAATCTTTTGACGGGCCTAAAATAAAAATATATTATTTTTTTCGACCACATTACATACATCTTTCCTTATTCTAATCAAAAACAATAAGAGAGAGGTGTGCAGTGAATAAATAATAATCCGGAATTATTTGAAAGTATTTATAGTATAAATTATTTATTTATATAATAAATTTTCTCCACAGTAGTCTATGATATTTGGCATCAATATGTGCAAATCATCATGTGCATACGTCTTAAAACTCGATTATTTTTTAAGTAATATCTTTTTTAAGTCTTAAGTATACTTGAGAAAACCAAAAAGTATTTACAGATACATTGTTTTGTTTATTAAATTTGTTCAGATAACAAGCTCCAATTCTTATAAAACCCTATGATTATGTAGTTAAATTAAAATATGTCTTGTTTCATTCTTTACATAGGGTAGAACAAGGCACAAAGTCTAATTTGACTTTGAGCAATTATATTGTGAAAACCAAACCAATTGTATTATAACAAATAACACAAATCAAACAAACAACTATCTGACTGTTCAGAGGTTCAGCAAAAAATCTTAACAAATTCATCATTGCAAAAATGTGTTTTTCCTGTTTTTCAAAAATTTGTCACCTGATATTTTTCACCCCATAGGCAGAGTAAAATAGGATGGCCAGGGGGCAGCCGGTCCATATTTAATTTATAATTCTAAAAGAATTTTACGAAATAATAGCTACATTATTCAAGCAATCCAAATAATATAAATTTCATTGGTTAATTTTTTACAGACTTAGATCTAGTATTTCATCAGAAATGTTCATCAGCAGAGTTGGAATAATTATCTAAATAGTTTCTCTTATAAAATTGCTTTTTTATTTACTATTTTTTATAGTTTACACCTTTTCCAGGATAAAGAATTAGTTGGTCCTTTTTATTCCTGCGCTCATGATTAAGCTCTTATATAGTGGGTTTATAAAATCTAACAACCGAAGAATTTACTCTTGCTAAGGATTTCCAAGCATTACCGTTATATCTCCTGATAGCAACGTCGTATGAATCAATGTCATGACAGATTATACATCTTTTGCCCTCTACTTTCAAATATTGTTGTTAAAAATTTCTCATTTCACATGTTTTTGAAAAATCGGTGGTAGACCTATTTACCTGCGGACCTTTAAGCCCCGCTCTACCCTATAAAATTTGGCATATATTCAAAATTTAATGAACTTGTCAGTACTTTAAAACGGTCATTTGCTTATCCCTAAAGTTACTCACTTGCAAGCACCTCCCTCCTATGTTAAAATTTCTCATTATCATACCTGTTTAAAAAGCAGAGCACTCCATACTCAAACAATCCAATTTTGCAGTTGTGGCAAACGGCATTCGGCCCTTCTTTTAACTGAGAACTCAGATGGAGAGGTAGTTCCTCAACATGCATTACTTCATGAGTCATTTTTATAAAACTTTTTCCGTTCACATAATAATGACCCTCCCCATCATAATCACTATCATAAAATTCATTATAATCTTCATCATCACAGTTTTCATTCTCATCCAGAAAGAAAGAGGTTTTGCTCAAAATAGCATGTGTTTTCCGCAAGGCCAATTCGAACAATGTTGGCATTTTTGGAGCAAAATATTGTGAAACATGTTTGATACCCGAATATAAATAAACATCGATTTCTGGTAAATTTTCAGTATTGACTACTTTTACATGGATTTGTCCTGGATGGAAAAATTCTGTCGAATCGTATGTCCTGAAATCAATTTGAAAATGCATCAGATTGACGTACCAGTGAAGGTAATACAAATATAATTGATTATATATTTCCAATTACCAAAATCGTGTGCTGATATGTGGATTGATATCAAATAGAGGTTCAAGAGTCAAGGGTACATGTTTCAGGGCAGGGTTCAGCTTGAAAATAATATTAGGCAGAGGATCAGCGGCCAATGGTAATGCTGGTAAGCAGCGCAAATCACAACCTGTTAATGTCCAAATTAATTAATTATTTCTCATATATACTAGTTGCACTAACTTCATATTTATGCACTTTCCAAAAAATTCACTATCAAATTCTTATAGATAACATTTAACATATTGTCTATTACTTAAATAGTTATAATGATAGTCATCACAAACCTAATAAAAACCTGGAGTTTAATAAACTCAATAAGTAATATGAAACTTTTCAAAATAATCAATTGTATCACGATTGGTTTAGCATGTATATAAAAACAAGAATTCGAATAACAATGCTGGTTGAAAACATGTTAATTTATTTCATTCATTCATTTTGTTAATTATCAAATAACAATTTGTTTTACATTATATTGATCATTAACTAAATTATTTTAAATATTTTACTGAAAGGTCTTTTTCTTCAAATACCAAACTTTTTTGAAATCTTATAAACAGTAAAGCTAATTAAAAATAGCTTTAGAGCTAAATAAAGAGTCAAAGATTTAAAAATGTTATACAAAAACTGTTAGTCATGTTCGAGTCATCGGTCAAGTAAAAAAATCAATTTCTTCATTAGAATCTTGAAAATGTTGTGCTAATTTCTTACTGATTTCAAGCTAAATAGCTATTGCAGGCTCTTATTATACTAAATAACTTATATATGGGTATATAAGAGATTGTATTGGCAGACTTGAGCGTATTTCTATCTTCATATTATTGAGTTCTTCATATGTAAAACTTCAACATTGTTAAATTTAAGGAGCAATCTTTTTTATTGCTATTAAAAAGATAAATCCGTTTTTATTGGGATGATCAATTAGAAAGACATTAGATTTTGGCTAGTTCACTTAGGCATCGAAATTCATCTTGCTTGTGTCACCCACTAACTAGCATAATATATTTTCAATACCATAATGTGAGTATTGTACCAATTTATCAAAAAAAAAGAAGGGGATCGAAATTATCCCAAAAGACAACCTCTTGGTATATTTCTTCTTACAACACTTGGAGTATCCAGAAATTGCCGATGGTAACTAATAATTTGTAAATAAAGACCGCATAATAATAACCAAATCAGATCTAATTATCAGTTACTAGATAATTTTTATTATTTAAAATTTTATAAATTTAAAATATTAACTTTTTTTAAAAAAAATCTATTTTATCAGCATTGAAGAGAGAAATCCAATTTTATGGATTTGATCAATTATACAAAAATATTAAGTTTTAGCAAGTTCACTTTGAAGCCAAAACTCATCTTTGATGTTTTACCACTAACTAGTAAAGAATATACATATTACCATAATTATGCCATAATGAGTATTGTACGGTCCAATTTATAAAAAAAACGAAAAGTTTAACACTTTTTTTTCAAATTACAAAGAAACGGCTCGGCAGATCGTCTCACAAAACTGACAAACTATAGCTCTCATTAAGATACATCAAATGACTTTTAAATTTATGAAATCGGTTCAGGCGTTTTTGAGAAAACGTCGATGAAAGTTCTAATTTTGACAAACTTCAGAAAAACGATACTAAATTTTGCAAACTTTGACGAATTTTCGAATTGTCGTAGGGCCGTAATATTTCAGTATGATCTATAAGACTATGGTATCTACAATAAAAAAAAATTATAAAAATCGAGGAAAAAAAATTTTTGACACCAAAAACTAATCAGATCGATTCCCAACTAATATCTATCGAACGGTTTTTGAATTTACAAATTCACATATATTTTACACACACACACACATATTTTTTCCAAATTTAGTCTCATTCGATTCAGAAAGGCTTGAAACGTCGAGAAAATATAAAATTAGCGAATCGCATTTTTTGATGAAAACATAAACTTCTCCTTCGGGAAGTTAAAACTTGTTCCAGCTGATAAAATTATTCTTAAGACACTTGAATGTATCCAGAAATAGCCGCGGTGGTAACATTATTTTCCACTAAAGACTGGACAACAATAAACACATCATGAGTACATTACAAAATCAGAATTATCGGTTACTGACTAAATTTCTATATACTATGTGACTAAATTTATATTTTCTAAAATCAGTAATCTATCTAATCTATGATGTTATCAATTATCAAGAGGTCCGATAATCCAAATTTAATTCGTTAAGTGACCATGTTAATTAATGCCTTAGGATATCTAAAGTTCAGTTTAAAGTAAAGTTTGACTTACAATTTGCGCTCAATTCCCTCAGACGTGGTAAGGAAAACACGGAAGGTGGCAATTCGAACAGTGGATTGCTGTCGACGGAAAGTTCTTCCAAGTTTCGAAGCTCACCGACACTCGGAGGCAGGCACTTTATGCCATTGTAACTCACGTCCAAACGTCGCAGAGATCGTAACTGTGTGAAATCTGTGGACAAGAAAGAACATTATAGAACAGCTTAAGGATTTTAGAATTTTTAAATTACAAATTTACTAAGGTTTTTGAGTTCATGTTTGAAGATAAGAGAAAAATATTTTGTTAGAAACCCTATCATTCTGCTGAATTCGCGAATGAATTAATTTCACGTCCAAATATTTTTTCAAAAAATAATCTAGAAAGCAAACTATAAGCTATAAGGATATGAAATAATAAGACAAAATACAAGAAATACTTAATTTTCCTGATATTTTATTTCAACAGCACTTTAATCATTTCAAGATTTCTTTGCATACATTTTTTATTATTAATTTTTTAAACATCGATCAGAACTTTAAGAGATTTATGAATTGTTGTCATGAAAATGATTACACCGACCACAAAATAAAAAAGTTGCCTGCATTAGGTATGCAGCATATGTTTTCTAATGTATTTTTTACCACTGCACACGAATCTAAAGTCAAAATTGGGGGTCAAATCGCAAAATTAGAAAAATAACAAACATTCCAATCAATTTCTCTGCTTAATACTTAACTGCCTAAAAATGTCAAACATATACCACATACCCAATTCAGACAACTTTTTTTTATTTTGTGGACCTATCACCTATGTTATTATTACAATTATTGTAATGGTCTTCAATTATTGTAATAGTCTACAATGTCTATTAATTGATGCATCAATATCGGATAAGGGCTATTTTCACTTGAAAAGTATTACGATCTATATTTCCAAGTGAAACCCGATGTTACTACTGCTTGACAACAGTCAAGCTCTAGCTATTTTCCTACAAGCCTTTTTGCACAAACAGCCTACAATTTTGAGTATTTGCGATTTCCAAGTATCACGAAGATTGAATAAAAAAAAATTATCATATATAATGTTGTAATCGAGTGTTAAGATTATAAATATCAGTGGACGTAAACCTAGAAATACAATTTTGGTAATCGATACCATATATCATATTTAATCGATATGAGCAAAGAAATAATAAGTAACAACCCTAAACTTATTCCTGAAAACAGATACACAAATGCAAATTTATTATTTAAAATACCATATTTAATGTATTTAAACATTATATTAAACTACTGTTATATTACTAACTTTGAGAAGACAAAAGGTAAAAGTTTATGTTTGCCCAAAAATCATATTTTCCAATTTCATCATTCTTTGATGTTTCAAGTCATTTTGAATATTTGATAGTAAGAAGTTTGTAAAAGTCAGCATTTCAAAAAGTTAAAGCCATTTGAAAAAAATCAACTAGGGCTCGCATTGAGCAGCTTTCAATTTTAGAATAAGAGTAGAAATACGTCTAAGACGGTCAAAGTATGGCCAAAGTAGTTTCTATGCTGTTAGCTCAAATCATTTTATTACATTACAATTTAGAAAAATATTTTACTAATTTCAATTATGATTTATGATTATTAATAACTTGTTTGAGAATTGAAGAATCTGTTCCTTTCTGTTCGCACTGTATTTTTATTCAAATTAAGAGTTAACAGTTTTTCTTTGACCTATAGTGAAACAATCAAAACTATATGGCAAATCATATCCTCGTAAGTAATGTCCTAAATAAAAATTATTATATTAAAAATATTGTATAGCTAGTGTCTCCTACTTATGTGCCAATCGCCAGGCTGTATTTTGTGTTTTCTATTAGATTTTCTTCAACCGAATTTTCAAAACATTATTATACATTTATTTAAAATACGCATTTTAATCATGCAGTCTGTCTAAGAGCTGAATGACACTTTGCTCAGATATAATTTACATTAAAAAATTTAAACACATTTAAATTTAAAATATCTTTATTTGCAAAAGATCAAGTCAAAAGATATTATAATCTCCAAAAAAAGATACATACAGCCAAAATGAAAATATTTATTTGCATAGATGCCTGGAAATAGTTAAACTAGATCATCGGTCCAAAAGCTCAATCCTTTAATGATCAATTAAATTTATTACATGTTTGTTATTTTACATACTGTGGCATGGGTTTAGGTTTACGTTTTACTTGAGATAACATAATTTCGTGCTTGCGTCTTAATTAAGAGAAACATTACTTCAGAATGTTTATTGATGTAAAATTCCAATAATATTATGTCATGATGCTTTATTTACCCAGGCTGAATAAGCACACATTTTGTAGAAGGAGGAGCGTCTTAATTAATAATGCACAGGAATCAAAAAATTAAATTAGACTTAGAGTAATAATAAAAAGTTGTAAGTTGCATTTTGCCTTGAGACAAGTTGCATGAACTTTCCAATAAGTGTATATAATCGATTTATTAATAATATTTTTTTTATTTATAGATGATCTGCATCTGCTGATCTGCCTGTCTACATGTCTACCTGTCTTCCTGTCCACCTGTCTACTTATCTACATTTATTACCGTTCGCCTGTTTACCTGTATATCTTTATATTTTTCCATTTAGTATGTTGGCTCGCCCGTAGGTAAGCGGTTAAGAGCAACGGGACCTGAATCAGAGGTCCCGGGTTCGATACCCACTTCGAGCAGCCTGTTGTCAGGCAGCAGTGACAACGATTTTCACTTAGAAATATGGATAGTAATATGTTTCCAAGTGAAAATAGCCCTTGCCCAGCATTGCTGCACCGATAACAAACAGTCCTATTAGATTAATTCTAATAACAAAATCATCAAATATGGATGAATTTAACCATTGGGTTATCATCTAAAAAATACGAAGTAAGGACAAGTATCAGACCAACAGCTCATAGGACGTAAGGTTCTGATTGCTGTTAAAAATATATAAAAAAAACTTAGTATGTTTATTTGTCTATCTGTCTACCTGTTTACCCGTCCGTCTATTACCTGTCTAAGTGTCAATGTCTCTGCATTTATACCAGTCATCCTACCAATATATCTACCTTTCTGCTTTTACCCGTTAACATGTCTACCTGTTTACCTGTCTACTTCTCCTCCGGTTCAGTTGTTTATCTGTCTATCTGGCTGCATGTCTACCTGCCTGTTTACTTTTAATATACTATTCTACTTTACTATCCTTTTACCTGTCTACTCTACCTAGTTACTCGTTTACCTTTCTACGTTCATACATCCCTCGCTGTTTGCCTATCTACCTGACTACATGTCCTATCTGTCTACCTGTCTACCTGTATGTCAATAATTATATTTGTAAACGAATCAATAATAAATGATTTGTATTGATTTGAAAAGCTGCCCCTGTAATTGTTACACAAAATGTTTCAAGATATTTCTATCATTATTGATATAGGGCTCGCCCGTAGGTAAGCGGTTAAGAGCGACGGGCCCTGAATTAGAGGTCCCGGGTTCGATAACCACTTCGAGCAGCCTGTTGTCAGGCAGCAGTGACAACGACTTTCACTTGGAAATTAAATAGCAATATATTTCCAAGTGAAAATAGCCCTTGCCCGGCAATGCTGCACCAATAAAAAAAAAGTCAGCCCTATTAGATTAAATCTAATAACAAAAAATAATCAAATATGAATGGATTAACCATTGAGTTACCATCTAAAAGAAAGGAGTAGTTTCAGCCCAACAGCTAAAGGACGTAAGGTTCTGATTTCTGTTAAAATATATAAAAAAATTGATATAAATGTATTTAAGCTGATGGCTGGTAAAACAACAATAACAAAAAAGAACTATCAATGATTTTACTCAGAGTTATAAATATTTAAGCAAAATTCGACACATTGGATGTCTTCTAAAGTTCGTACTCGTACACACAGCTAGTCGAGTGACGCTCGTAGCGAAAAGGTTACTAGGCTATTAGAACGATCAGTCGGCCTTTTTTTATACTTTGTTTTATTATATTGATGTAATAAACTTTTAATATTGCTTTATTTTTAGTAAGCTTTTACGACGTTGCCGCAGCAATATCGCATAAAATTATGAATATAAAACTTTAAACACGATTACGTAATATATGCATAAATGTGCAAACATCTTAAGTATAAACAACTTCGATAAACGGCCATTTGTTTACTCCACCATGATATTAATCAGGATTAAGTTCGTCATCGATAAAATTGCAATAACTATGAATATGGAAATATAAAATATATAACACGATACGAGAATACCTAAGTAATTAGAACACTTTTGATTACATTAATATTATAAACAGTGAAAATACTGCCTACATCAATCGTTCGTCAGGTGAATTTCTCAAACAGGTAAAGGTGATAATCAGAGTGAGACTAATTATAAGTTATGCATGCACTATGAGAATTGTTAAAAGAAATTGTAATGAATCACTTTGAACAAATGCGCGGTGTTTGATTACTGGTAAGTGTGTGCATTTCTTTTTTATATTTATTTTTTCTCTCTAAAAATAGGTGAAACTAGTGGTGTATGGCATCGTGCCTTAAGGCAAATTGCTGGAACTTTCCGTACCAAAAACTAAATTTAAAAAAAACTATGCAAAACTTTGAAAAAATTAGATTGTCGAGAAATTGTAAAATTTTTGAAAAAAATTGACTTTTTTGAAAATGTTGATTGTTTTTATATTTTGATTTTTTTGTATTATGATTTTTTTTGAAAATATTATATTTTTTAGGCAATGGCGCTGCATAGCTTTTTCAAAACATCAATGCGCCTAAGCGCGGTAGTCATCTAACGTGTAAACATCGGAATCCATATAAATGTACACAAAATTTGTACTTATTATTATAATTTTAATAAAATATGTGATAATATGATGTACATATGTCTAATGATCATTTTGGCATTATTTTTTACTTTTTTCATTGGATCTACGGAGACGCTAGGCCTGTATATACACAAATTTCGCCAGTTGTTGATTTCGTCAAGACAAGTAAAATAATTTTTGCCCCGTATCTCCGAAACGGCAGGACCTGCCTTTCAGTAGGAATCGAATTATTCAAATCGGTTGATCCGTATTCGCAAAATAGTCTACGAAAATTTGTATCCGCACACACACAGACACACACACATACTTACATACACACATACATCCTTTTTTGT